TTTAAAGTTTGCTTTTTCTTATAATTTATTATAAGATTTACAATATAAAAATTGATTTTCTGAAGATCTTTTTTTTTATCAATTTTGGCTCTTTTCTCAGATCACAGCCCATATAGTAGTAAAATATGGATACTAGAAAGGGTTTAAATAGATAGTTAGAGCATAAAATGGATAGCTAAAATAGAAAATGTATAAACTATATGATGATGATTAGATTATTTAGATTATTATAAAGAGGTAATTAGATTATAATATTTAGATTATATACTGGTACTTATATTATATAATGGTATTTAGATTATAGAGATATTTAGATTATATAATATTATCTAGATTATAGTGATATTCAAATTATATAGTTATATCTAGATTATGTGGGCAGTGTTCTAAGGAAAGGGCCCAAATTAATAAAAAATTTTCTTAACAAGAAATCAATTATCTCGTGATCTATTAATCAGAACTGTATAATTTTGGTACTATTCGATTCCTCTCGGTAAGATGAATCGAATGGTACCAAAATTATGCAATCCTGATTAATAATTTACGAGATAATTGATTTTTTGTGAAGAAAATTTTTTATCAATTTGGGCCCTTTTCTCAGAACACTGCCTATATAATCTAATATAAGTGGGATATTACTATATAATATAATTATATTATATAGCAATATCCCACTATTAGTATTAACAATTACTAATAATATACAGTATATATTTTATTTGACAATACAAATAATAAATATAGAAGTGTGACAACTTAGTGAAGTAGTAAAATTTTTGCACCTCTAAGCTAGCTTGACTATGATACCAAGTTCAAATCCTACTGGCAACATTTCAGACAAAAATATTTGTATTACAGTAACAGATCTCTTATATTGAGTTAGGTTTATAACCTGTTGCTTGAGTTATACCAACACTCTAAAGTATTAAAAACTTCTAAAAACATTTATATTATTGCACAAAGGAATGCAAACTAGTTTAAGTAGCGCAAATCTACAATAAGTCTTCTAGAAATAAAAAATTACAAAGATATTTATACAAAAAACTTAAAGATCTGAAACTGGCTTGGCAAATCCTAAATAAAAATTAGCAGATTTTTGATAGTGTTACAAAATAGAACAGAGTAGTCTAGAAATTAAAAAACCAGATAACAAAGATCTTTGGGCAAAAGGATCTATCAACCAGGCTATTAAAGTTACTAGAGCTATACTAATTATACATTTATTAATTAATTTGTTAACTGGGTGACTAGTAATAAGATTCTAGAATAAAATTCCAGAGAAAAAGAGCATATATTATAAAAGTATATACCAAGAATTGGGAGACCTTTAGATTTGAGCCTGGAAAACTTGAATCTAGACAGACTAATTCTTCTAGGCTATTTAAATTAGAAGACCAGGCCAAAAATATATGAAGAGATAGAATAGGGTACTAGAGTCTGTAAATCTTAAAAAGAGTAAGAAGTAAGTAATAGAAAACTACTGTAGTTAGGAAGGTTGTGCTTGAGATACAGATTGTATTATAGCAGTACTCCAAAAGGTAGCATGAGACATGAATGCAATAGTGACAAACAATATATACTAATTATAATAAAATTACTAAATATACATGTACTTGTGTGTGGGACATGATAAGCATTATTAGGTTTACTTTATAGATTAGCCAAAAGGAGTCCTAAGTTGGCTGTTAATCTAGTGGTGTCACATAAATCCATGTCTATGAGTGGTGAGGCTATGCCAGGTTAAGTTAAGGATAAGGGTGCAGATTTGTGACCAGAAAGTTTAAATAGATAGCTTCCTAGTTAGGCTATAGGTATGGCAGCTAGTGTAGAACCTTAGGGCAAACTACTTAAATTATACAACCAAAAGTTGTATGTATGGCTAGTTGTACTTTCATTACTAAAATTGTAACTTATCTGTAAATCGCCAATAAAGAACAAAAAAAAAACAAATAATAGACATGTCTCTGATTGGTTTATGCGGAAGATCATCATGTGCCAATTTCAGCATCAGCAGTGACAATTATTTAATATTTATTTTAGCTTGGTAAGTTTTACCTTTAGCCTTTATTCACTATATATAGCCAAACTTCTCTAAGTGCATGCCTCTAGAACTGGAGATAATTATACATTTATGAAAAGTGTATGATTATGAAAAATCTCAACAAGCCAATCAGAACAAGAAAAATATACATATGATTAATTCAACCCTCTCTAAATATACGTTCTTAAAATTGAAGATAGGTGTGCATTGAGAGGGCGTAAATTCTATATTTCATGGGCCAAATTTTTATTATCAGGCGCATGCATTTATAGAGTATATAAATGTATGGTCTCAGTAGAGGGTGTGCACTTAGCTCTAAGTCCCGAGCTTGGATACCAAGTTCTTTTGCCCAAAGTTCTGACCAAAATTATAAAATAGTGCTAGCCGAAATCATAATTTACTACGTCTACTGTGCTGGCTATATATTGCTATTCCTAAACACTTCCGAAGTTACCTCAGACCCAAGTATATATCTAGAAAAGCTACTGCCCCTCTGTACCCATTTGGGTGCCAAATTATATATTGAAGTGCTTATCTTTTTGTGCCTGTTTGGGTCCCAGCTTGGGTGCCCCTTCTGTATCTGTTTGGATTCTTGGTTCTATATTGATGGTGCGTGCTAATATTGTACCATCTTTTATGATCCTTTTGATTGCCAAAGTTGAGACATATAGTGTCGAATTGGTTTAGGCTTTACTGCTTTCATATCCTTTTTTTTCGTCACCATCTATTTGCAACCCGCCGTAATAAAAGTAAAAAATAAAGTGCCGACAAATCTCACTTGTCCATAACAGTAATGGGCACGCGTCACTGTTAAGTGGCTCGATAACGCATTTTCAACGTCCTCCTCAGTGAGCAAATTCGAGAGGTATTTTTTGATATCTTTAGGAATATCAACTTCAACAGTAGTGTTACGAACAATGCTCTCGAAAAAGTCCCCCGCATCCATCCTTGATTTTTCTCCAAATGGTTCACACAACATATATATATTGCATTTCTTCATGTCATTGAAAAGTTCTTGAATTTTATTTTTTCCCCCCGCTGATTTAACCGCAACCTAAATAATGGATGTCCATTTATTAGTCAATATGCAGTAAACAGAATCGTACCGAAATAAATTTACAGCATCAGATCCATTTTCTATTTGTGATCGTTGATCATCTCGTTCCCTATCTTGATCGTCATCGGCTTCGCCTTCGTCTTGTTTTACATCAACACTCTGTATTAAAAATATCCTTTGAGCATAATATTACAACCACTATAAATCACGATTGAAAGAGTAATAACCGACCTGACTTTCTACTAATGAATTGAATTTCTTGTGAACGTTTATATTGGTCTTCTGAATCGAGCAGTGACCTTGAGCCTATAAATCAGGAATATTAGTATTAGTGACACAAACTTACAGCTTAAAAGTTTGCAATGACTTGGCACACCGCTCTTTTTTCCTGCATCCATACTTCCCAGTCTTGTTTGTATTCTTCATCCTAGTTGAAAGAGAAAACAAGTCTTAATACTAAGGTATAAAATATGCATGAAAAAGTATACTCGATTATTACGTCAAATTTCTTTCGTATTGCTGTAAGCTTCTTTTGTATCGCCTTGTTTTAACAATTGCGTTCCAGTACTGAATTGATAGTATTAAGATATTTTTCAATCGCGCGAGATTTATGAGTTGGATTTATGAATCGATAGAACGCAAGAGGCGTAGGATTATCACACTCGAACATCCATTTTACACGCTCCTTTTCTTTGTCCGTAGCTTTTGGCATTCTCAAAATCGTAAAAGATATGAGTAAAATAAAATAAAGTGAGTGTCTTGCTGAACAGAGCTTATCAATCTTTCCTAAAAATGAGATGTCTTTCACTTAAGACCGGCCATCACTGATGACTTGCCACTATTGGCTTCCGACAGAACTAGAGATTCCAGTCTGCCCGCTGGCGTCTTTTGTGCCCAACATCCCCACAATAACTCTGTGCGACTGACGTCTTCACTCAAAGCCGGCCATCTGCTGATGACTTGCCACTACTGGCTTCCGACAGAACTAGAGATTCCAGTCTGCCCGCTGGCGCTTTTCGTGCTTAACAGAGTTATCGAAAAATTTTGGACTGAGAAAAAAATTAGACTCACCTGAATGATTAAATTTTTTAGAGTTGATATTACGAGAATTTAGAAAAAAATATCCATGCAATAAAAATTATGAAAATCGTGTAACTCTTTTTTTCGATATGCAAACTAAAGAGCATAGTGGACAAACCTAAATTTGGGTGATCGACATTGTGGCTTAGCCAATTTAATAAAAAAATTTTTTTTTTTAACTATTTATATACGTTAAAGTACTTTTTATTCTCGTGACGCAATTCTTGCTCGAAGCCAGACAGACCCGCCTTCTCGCAATTCTTGCTCGAAGCCAGAAATAAATGATTACTTTTTTGCAAAATCAAGAAAGAAAAATATTTCCGAAAATTTATAGAAACTATTTTTGCAAGCCAAATCCGCGAAAATGTTTTTTTATATTTTTTGTGAAATACTTTCACGAAAATGTTTAGAAATATTTTTTTATATTTTTACGAAATTATAGAAAAACATTTCATAAAAAATATAAAAACTATTTTCAGAAAAAATATAAAAACTATTTTCAGAAAAAAATATAAAAACTATTTTCACTGATGGGCGTCAGCAAAATTTCAGTTGCATCCACGCCCGCCTTCTCGCAATTCTTGCTCGAAGCCAGACATCACCAGCAAACTATTGTGGCAAAAGTGATCGATGTGGTAGTACCCAAAAGTAGTACCCAAAAGTGATCGATGTGTAGTACCCAAAAGTGATTGATGTGGTAGTACCCAAAGGTAGAATTATATATAGTAAAAGAAATAAGAAATTATGCCTTTGGGTACTACCGCTGATAGGTAAGAAAGAGAGCAGAAAGATGGAAAGACTTAGGAGAATACAAGAAAAAAAAGGTATGAAAACAGTATAATCTGAACTAATTCGGCACTATGTGCCTTATTCTGGCAATCACATCATGGTGGGATGGCATTCAAGATGGTATCTAAGGCAAAGCAAATAACCCATTGAATGAAAAAACAGAATATGGAAACAGCCAAACCTCTTTAGAGTAAGAGGTCTTTACACTTACTCGAAAGAGAATGTTTTTTATACATGTAAATTATCTACTGCGCCACCTGACATAATATTTTTTACACCACTTCGGCATCTAGAAAGGCACCCAAACAGGTGCAAAAAGGTAAGCACTTCGATATATAATTTGGCACCCAAATGGGTACAGAGGGGCAGTAGCTAAGGTAAAAGCATTTAAAGTTATAAGATGTTTTAAATCGAAGTGTATAATATCAGCACAGGCAATTAAGATTCTGGATAATAAATCTTCATGAGAAATTTTATATCCATCTAAGGAAGGGAGTTCAGGATTCATGGAATCAGAATACTGCCTCGCGTCAATATCAAGAACCGGGCGAAGAAGTAGATTCCTATCAATACATTTATGAGTATCAGGTAATCCATAAACTTCAGATGGATAATCAACTACAGTAAAGCCCTTTCCAGATACTCAGAAAATATATTTTGAATAGATCTCTTCAGGATGATAAGTATCTAGAAGAGTGACATTATCTTTACTATTAGACAAATATTTGAAATATATATGATTATTATAGCTAGGCTCATAGTCAAGGTCCACTAAACCAGAGAAGAGCCTGGTTGTTTCATTTATTATTTTAGGGCCAGGCCCGAGCTTTTTTTGTGTAAGAAGCATGATAAATATGCAAGAAACTAGTATAAAATAACAAAGAAACATGCAAAGTTTAAATAAAAAATCTATATGATCACTGGTATAGTATTGGATTATAGTAGTACCACAAAGTAATCAATATGATAATGTCTAAAAGCAATTGATACAAAGATACTCTGAAGTAGTAAATATACAGGAACAAGAGCTAGAAGGCAAAAACAAGCAAGTTTATAGTAACCCACTCAAGCAGAATTATATATAGGAAAGAAAAGAGAAATTTTATTTGAGTGGCCTACCACTGATAGGCAGAAAAGAGGTTGGGAAAGCAGGAAGGCTCAGAAGAATATAAAAAAAAAGGATATGAAAGCAGTAAAGCCTGAACTAATTCAATACTATATGTCTCAACTTTGGCAATCAAAAGGATCATAAAAGATAGCACAATATTAGCACACACCATCAATATAGAACCGAGGATCCAAACAGATACGAAAGGGGCACCCAAACTAGAACCCAAACAGGTGCAAAAAGGTAAGCACTTTGATATATAATTTGGCACCCAAATGGGTACAGAGAAGCAGTAGCTTTGGTACACTTTTCCAGATATGTACTTAAGTATGAGATAACTTCGGAAGTGCTTAGGGATAGCAATACATGGCTGGCACAGTAGACATAGTAAATTATGTTTTTGGCCAGCACTATTTCATAATTTCAGTCAGAACTTTGGGCAAAAGAACTTGGTATTCAAGCTGGTATATAAGTAGTCTGAAACTGGTGAACTAATAGAATGTTTTTAGTTTTCTACCAGTTTTCTGCTAGTGTCATAATAGTTCTAGATACTATTGGTCTACTACTATGGTGCCAAGTTGGGATTCTCAAATCATGTATTCTAAAGATCAGCCAGAATTATAGCATAATTTTAGCTGAAATTAACCATAAATTTACTATACCACTTAACATGATATTTTTTTATCACAATTTAGTATTTTTATAGGCAACCAAACAGATACAAAAAGGTAAACACCTTGATATAGAATTTGGCACCCAAACAAGTGCAGAGGTGCAGTAACTATGGTATAAAACTTGAAATTAAAAAAGGTATAAACAACTTG